GTAGGTTGTCTAGAGGATTGACGAGGAAGCCTATGGCCCTTATCAAGAAATTGCGCAATGCGGTAAAACCCTAATTAAATCTCTTGAGTTAAATTGATATATGTTTGGATTAATATATGCTGGGATGTATGCTTGATGATAGAGAGTTATGCATTCTGTTTTCTTCACTTAATTAGGTTTCATTGGCTTCTTAGTTTCAGATTCCAAAATATACATTTGGCGGTTGTAAACTTAGTCTTTTAGATATAAGACATAGCCAGAAATTAATTAAATATCACCAAAATTTGTGTAACTATTTATGTTTTCGTATAGAATTTATTAAAAAAATACGAATTTCGATTTTATTAAGTTCTCCCATTCGAAAAAAACCTACTAATGTCCAGTAGGTTTCTGATTGTAAAAAAAAATTCGGTTTGGTTGTTAGATTCGGACTTTTTTTATAGAAATTCTTGAGAAAGTTTTGTGTTGGTTCTTTGAGACCACATGGATTTAACAATACTAAATATAGTTCTATTATATATTAACACTCACTCTTTGGTTTATTTAAAACCAGAAAAGAGAAGCACCTTCTGGTGAGAAGCCAGAAGTAGTGAGAACACATCTGAGGAACATGGTGATTATGCCTGAAATGATTGGAAGCCTCATCGGTGTGTACAATGGAAAGACGTTTAACCAAATCGAGATCAAACCGGAGATGATTGGACATTACTTGGCTGAGTTCTCAATCTCATACAAGCCGGTTAAGCACGGTAAACCCGGTCAAGGAGCCACACATTCCTCTAGGTTTATCCCTCTCAAGTGAAGCTATTACAAGAGTCGATACTGCTTTTTAGCATTTATTTTGTTTTGCTAACCTAGTCATCTAATTCTATCGTGTTAAGATGACTCTCTCATCTCTTTAAATTTTTCGGATTATCGATACTATTATTTTTAGTAACTTTCTTTTTAATACCCCGCAGAATTTGGATTTGGTTTTTTAATGAATTTTACTATTCGAAATATTGAAAAAGTCGATAAATTCCAGGATAAAATTTTGATTCAAGGAGCTGTG